AGATCAAGAACTCAGAAGACAGTTGAAGTTGGCAGCCTGTTATAATTCAAATTTCCTCTCTACTCTTAGAATTATTGTCTGACTGGTTAAGAACCATATTTCTTTATAATCTTGTCTCTCTTTATCGTTCCAAAAGGACTATGAAGGGATCATTCATGCATCCTCAGCTCTCTCCAGTGTTGAAATAGATACTCATGTCTTACACAGGAATATTGAAGAATATTACTGTTGTGGCTTGATTATCTTGCAGTACACCAAGAGAAAATTTGAAACTGCTGTCAACAGCCTTTTTTTTTCTTTCTTTCTTTTTTTTTAATGCATTCTTAGGTTATCTGTGGTTAACCATGCCACCTTTATGGTTGAACTTTCTCATTTTCCTTTCTTTTCTGAGACGTTTGACATAGAAATAACCAATGTGTTATGAGTGCTTACTGTGTATTGGACACTATTGTAAATGCTTCATCTATATTAACTTACTCTCCACAAGGACTCTGAGAGATGGATTCTGTTTCCCTTAACAGATGAGGTATAGAGAAGTTATGGGACTTAAGCAGGATACAGAGATATAGAGGAGGTTATAAAATTTATCTACAATTACACCACAAATTATCCATAGAAGAAGGATTCTAATCCAGGTAATCAGCCTCTGGAGCTTGTACTCTTTTTTTTTTGTCTTTTCAGAAGAGGTCTCACTATGCAATTCAGGCTGTTCTTGAACTCAGCAGTCTGACTGCTGGGATTGCAGGTGAATGCCACCATGCCAGGCTTTGGAGCTTGTGCTTTTAATGCTTGGCTGTATTGACCAGTTGGCTTACAAGTAGGCCACTTTGTTCTTGTTGGGATGGGAATTATTATCATACTTTCACAGAGATCTCTGTCAAAGAACAAAGCAGCTTATCCTTCTCAGTCAGGGAGGCCATATGAAGTAAAGGTTAGTCTGACGGAAATGGGAATTTACACTAAGAGTTTCCTGGAACAGAACTTCCAAGTACTGGAGCTCATTTGGGAAGGAGTCTTGGTGGTCGTGAGGAAGGAGAGAAGGAATATATTTATTGCAGGATTCCTAAACTTCTTGATCTGCCTGTGTGCCCTGTCTCAACTCTGCTGTAGATATTACATCTTCAGCTTCAAATCCAGTAGAACATATGCTTAATTTATATTCAACCTGTAAAATTAAAGTAATGCTAAATGGAATAGTTTTCCTTAGCTTCAGCAAGAATTCACACAAACAGCTTAACTTTGTATTCTCATAGTATTTGATATAAATGTTATTTTTCTACCCTTAGCCAGAGGTGTACACAATTAGATAAATGCATACTTTCACATAATGCATTTTTTGAAAGACTGGTGAATTTCTCCATCCATATGAGGTGGACCACATGATAATAATTGATGTCATATAATGAGCTATTATATATGAGGTACATACCTCATTTAATCTTCCTAACAACCCTGCAAGATAATTATTAATTCTCTGCTGTATAGATAAGAAAAATGGGCCTCAGAAAGGATGACTGATTTCCAAGACCTTGTAACCTAATTGGTGAAGCCTTGTTCTGACAAAGCCCTTGTTTTTCTCATTGACTAATAATTCCCTAAGGAGGTTGTCTTCATCTTTCTTCCTGAAAATCTAAAGGAGAACAGCTCTCTTGAATTGAAAGTACCTATCAGGTACAATGTATAGCTAATCGTAGATTTTTACCTCTTTTGTGTGAAGACATCTTAATTGGCCAGGAGCAGCCTCTTACCAGAGAATGATTTATTTTTTAATGCAAAGTTTAAAAAAATCTCTCCAGTGTATATTTTTTAAAAACACAACACCAAAATGTAGCCTCTGAAACCTGAGGCTGTGGTCTTCAGGATTGCTCTTAGTGAGTATATTAATGGGTTCTTGGGTCACAGTGGTATAGAAGGTGACCTTGGTGGTTGGAGATCTACCTTTTGTCAATGTTGATTTTGACAGTTACTTGGGCCTGGGATTTCATGTACATGTCTGCTGCAGTAAGTCCCTGAGCAGCAATTGTGGCATGAAGCCACAAATGTTCTTTTAAGGAAAACATTATGCCAGGTGTGGTGGTGTGTAGTTGCAATCCTGGCGTTCTGGGAGGCTAATACAATATAGGAGGATCATAAGTTCGAGGCTCATCTGGGCAACTTAGTGACTTAATGAAAACCTGTCTAAAATAAAGAAAAATTTTAAAAGCTCTTGGGATGTAGGTCAGTATGAAAGTCAATACCACATCAAAAAAATAAAAAGAAAAGAAAAAGGAAAAAGTATTCTGACACTTGTTAAAATAGTAAGAAAGACCTCATTCAGAACTATCATGATTGGTGCCAAGATTATTGCAGTAGGCAAGAGAGAAAGGCTCAAATACCAATATAACAAGAATAACTAGGGATTTATGACTAGCCCTTGTAGAGCAGTTTTAATTTGAGTTAGTGTATTAAAAAAAGACTGACTAAGAGGAAATATCAAGGGTAGGGAGATTCTTGCTGAAGGCTGGTTAAGAAATTATATATAAAAGATGAGGACTGAAATTTGAATGGATATTGAGGGTGAGCGATACTCTGAAAAGGATCCTTGCTTAGCAGGACCTTTATTAAAACTAGGCCATGTAGACCTAGCAAGGGTGAGACCAGGCTGGAGCTGACTTGAGAAGAAAGCGTAGAGGAGCCTGTCTAAGCTTTGGTCAGTGATAGTGTTTGCCAGTTCCTATTGCTGTATTAGAAGCATGTAGGTATTGAAAGTGAATCCATGCTAAAAGTATGTATGTATGATGTGCATGTATGTGTGTGTATGTGTGTGTGTGTGTGTGTGTGTGTGTGTA